CGCGCGGCCTGGGGGGCTGTGGGGTCTGCGCACTCTGGGGTCTGTGGGGTCTGTAGGGTCTGCGCACGCGTGTGTCTGTGTCTGTCTCTGCCCGCTGACCGGTGATTTTGTTGCCTTCAAGATTGCTTCATCTCCAGGGATTTCTGTTTCTGTTTCAAGTCATGGAGGCAGAGCAGATTATGGAGGGACAGCCACAGGTACTGCAAGATATATCCCATGTGCATCCTTTTCCATGCAGAAGCTTTTTTTTTTTTTTTAAAAAAAAGCAAATAACAACAAAAAACCTTTGATGACCATATATTGTTTTACAGGTTCCAGAAAATCCCCATGCTGAATATGGTCTCACTGAAAATGTAGAGGTGAAGATGATTTTGCTATTGTCTATTACAGTAGTTGTTCACATTGCTGATCTAGGGGAAGAGTGTTGAATCTCAAGAGCAGCTTCAAAAGATGTAGACACTCCTGAACGATAAATGGAAACAAACCCACCAGTAGATACTACCAGTTTGTTGCACAGCTGACTTAATACTTTTTCTGTTGTGCTGCTTCCTTTATAGTAAATGATACTGAAGTAAATAGTAAACCCTTTAATGCGATGTTATTTGAAGGTGGCATATGATAATATTACCATCAAGATGCACTGCAAAAAGCCAAAAGGCACCTGGAAGGATGCAGTGTATGTTTGCTTAATATATCCACATACACATTAATAGAGCATGTTCTCAGAGTGCTTGATTCCATAAAGTTCCTCTTGTTGGACTTGTCTTGAATTTTTGGTGGGGATAAGACCTTGTGCCTTTAAAGTTCTGGGCTGGAAGTAGATATAAGTGCTGTTTAATTAGGACTAGTGATGTTAATCTTTCTTGTCTTTAATCATGTCTGTATAATTAAATCTGGGAATGTAGAAGCAGAAAGAAAAATTACAGTAATTGAATACTTTCTGTTTTACACAACTTAAGACTTCTAAAATTGTTTCTCCAAAACATAAGAATTTAGCATAACGTTCCTCTTGTTTACATTTTTATCCAAAGAAAGATATGCACTTAAAATAGATTTTAAAATCTAAGGAAGTTATTTTCAGCTAATTTGCAGAGAAACAGGTACTTTGTTTCCCTCTTCAAAGTGGATCAATATTCATTATCAATGCTCATTCACTTCCTTTTTTTTTTAACATTCAGAGAATAGTAGAAAATGAGAAAATAAATGCAGAGAAAACATCAAAGCAGAAGGTTGATCTTCAGTCATTGCCCACACGTGCCTACCTGGATCAGACAGTTGTACCCATCTTACTACAGGGACTTGCTGTTCTTGCAAAAGAAAGGTAAGATGCTTAAATGTTCCTACTGCTCTTACATGAAGAAAGTGCTCAAATTTGGATAGTTTGTTACCTTTTCCAATCTGAAACACCTAACAATTTTGCTAGTTTGATAGTTGTAAGAAAGTAATGTCAAACAAGTTGATTAATTATTATTTTCGAACATGCAAAATGTGTTTGTCATTTAGCTGCACATATTTCACAAGCATTATGTAATAGATTTATGATGTCCCAATGAGATGTGCTATTACAAGCCTTTGGAAGGTGTTTTTTTTCATTAATATTATCAAATGATTCACCTTGTAGAAACAAGGCAAGAAGTTGCTCTAGTTTCGAACCAGCTTCCTTACTAAGTTATTATAAGTTCTGCTTAACTCCGTTGAAAACAGAAAGAGAAATCAAGTTTGACATACATTCTTGTAGTAGATTAAAGACTTTCTAAAGGATGAGGTTTACGTGCAGTGTCAATACAGTAAGGGACAAACTGTTCAAATCAAAATGTTGGCGGAAAAGGTTGTGGGACATACAGGAAAAAAAAAACAGTATTGAATTGCTGAGGTCAGGCTGCTCTTGGTATTTGTTGAAGGAGTTAACAAGCACTCATAAACAGGAATCCAGAGGATAGGGTTGGTTTAAATCTCCCTCTCATGCCACAGTCTTTCACTAAAGGCTTTCAAAGAGAGCAAGCTGCTGTGGGATTACAGGAAAAGCCTTTATATGAGTGAAGAACTGGGTGGAAGATAAAAGACAGAGTAAAAGTAAATGGTGAATTTTCATAGTGAGATGAGTTTACCTCTAGGATCCTGCAGACGATCATTCCCAGTGATCTGACCGAATGGATGACAGAATTAATTGCTAATGATACTAGATGATAGTGTTGGATTTCAGTTAATCAAATATAAATAATTGTAAATAATTTATAATGAACTTGATGTGAAATTGGGCAAGATTGGTTGGGGACATGACAGGTGAAAAATACATACAGATAAGCAGAAATGATATATCTAGAAGATAAGAAATATCCTAATGCTGTTGATAAGATGATTTGTTCTGAGCTAAGCATTACCTTGTGAAAAAAATCTTTGAATTGTTAACATAAGTAGTTCCATATATATGTCAATGCATTGCTCAGTCAAAATCTACCTAGGTCTATCAAAGGGGCTAGCGTGGGAAGCTGGAGAACTGTAAGACCTGGAGGCCAAGAGGGGGTTCTAGACAAGTATCTTTGCACACTTCTCCATGCTCTTCATAGACATCTCTGCTTACCACCAGCACCTCTTCTGTGACCCTGGGTGGAATAAATAACCTTGTCATTTATTCCATTGCCAGACTCAGTATTACCGGGATTCATGCACGATAGCTGAAGGAGATTTTTAAACACTTGCAAAGTAAGGCCAGTGACTCGGAGGGTTTTTTATTAACTGCTTGCAAGTTAACAGTGCTTTTCCAATTTGAAATTTCTGTGATGTTAACTTAAAAGGAACCAGCAGGTGCCCAAAACAATAACAAGCATAAGCTATCCAATAACCACTCGGAGAAAATGAAGCAAGAAAGCTTTATTTTTACTTTACCGCTTACCTTTTTACCCTGTAGCACAATGTAGAGAAATAGGCAAATACACAGAGCTTCCAGTGAGTATTCACTCAAACAAGCTCTATCCTGAACAGTATATTGAACCAGTGGTAGCTAAGACTACGTATTGAAAATGTCTTCATCAGATTTAAACCTGGAAATTTACTGGATAAGTCTGAGTAATTAGTCATCCCCAGGTGAATGCATACAGATGTTTGAGAGTTACACTGCCTTTAAGGGAAGGTGACCAGGTTTTCTGCTATGTATATATATGTAACACATAGTAAGTGCTCTTGATTTTCTTTTTCTTTACAGACCGCCAAATCCTATTGAATATCTAGCAGCATTTCTTTTAAAAAACAAGTCACAGTTTGAGGACCGAAATTGATTCCATAAAAATGAGGACAATTTGGCTGCTATACTGAAATGCTCATTTGCCACAATTCATTTTCTGCTGTAAAATTCCTTTGGAACCATGATGTTGTCTTTCTTAAACATACTATTTCCTTTACCTTTAGATTTATTTAATAAAGAACACTTTAAATTTCATTTGCTTGCTTGTGTTAAACTAGCTATTAAGGGACTTTCAAAATAAAGTACTGAAACTGCACTGCTGGATGCATTACCTGAATACATGAAACAAAAGGTAACTATTTCTTATGGTACCTACACAGATGATACTGTAGATAATATAATTTGATTTTCCATAGCACCTCTCTTGTGCAAGATACCTAAAAATCTGAAGGCAAACTAATTAAGAGCAGTTATATTTTTTTGTTTGTTTGGATTAATTGACTAAGATAGGAAGCAGAGAACTTGCTTCAGAAGACCTGGAAATGTTTTTATTTAAAACAGACCATCAGTCAGGCTCAGCAGCTAAACAGATCATCTGCAGGCAATCTCTAACACTTCAGACTGTTAAATTTATGAAGTGTGCTATTCAGGCATTTATCATTGATTTCCTGTGATTGATGTGTTGTTTGAATTATGCTGGATTTAACTGACATAGAATAAAGTTAGAAAGGGCTTAAAGCAATTCTGCAATTCCTGTCTTTGTGCTAATTTGAGTCTTTGTGCTGCTGCTGCTACTACTACTATTGCTAGCTCTAATACTCTTTATTTCGGGTAATTTACCTATTATCCACTTAAATACTGACAGTCTTCTAATATATTTTTCCCTTAGGTTTACAAACATTCTCTCTTTCTGGTTTTCCCCAAACATTCTTCAGATTTTTGTCTGGCCCTTTCATGTTTCTTTTTCCTGGTATCTCTTCAGTAGTGAGCAAAGACCTCAGGCCTCATTGTACAATACAAGAAATAACAGCAGAGCACAAGCAAAGCTTTGAAAATCTAAAGTTATAGTTTGAAAGGCAGATAACTTGATAATTTGATAAAATTAGGAAAAGTATTAGTGCAACACTTCTAGGATTAGGTTCTTAAAAACCATTCTAGAAGCATTCTTAGTTTTATTCTTCACAAGTATGGAGACTTTCTCATTACGTGTTAATAAACCTGCTGTTTACCTCATACTTTTGCTTCTTTTCCAGACACTGTAGAGCTTTTCCTTTGGGTACATGATGTGACAGATGTCTGTGGTCTGTTGCCGTTCTGGAAGGGGTTGAAGGTCTTTTCTGTGAGAGATTAAATGGATTGCAGAGTTTGGTAATTATGTATAGATTTACAAAAAGGGACTTCACTCATATTACACTTTTCCAGTGATGACTTAAAGAGGTTGTTAAACTGCAAGTATATTCATGTGTCCCAATGCACAAATAAGAATATTTCCCCTCAAATTTGACATACAGATGATTTTTCTATCCTAATCTGGAGGGTTTTATTGTAACTTATTTTACTGTGGTCTTACTTTAATAGCTTAGAAACACAGGCATAAGAGTCAAGAGAAGATGGATCATTTGGGGATCATTAACTTCAGTTGTCCAGGAATTGAGAGGAGCTAGGGAAGGAGAAGACTCTTGTTCCTACTAGGAAAAATCTCTCAACATTTTCAATATTTCTTAATATGCTATGAGATAAACATAGAATTCATGTACTCTAAGGGCAGTAAGAGTGGGTTTTTTATCACTGAAAATAACTTTTGTTAGCACTTCTTTCTGTTGACTGATCATCTCTGTGGGGGGATAATATTATTAGTTGTTAATATTTTATAAAGTGAAGAATCCTTGCTATAAGCTGCTTTCACAGATGTCACTGAAGAACTAATCGTGTTAGCAGCTTCCCTGGTAGCCTTTTAAAAATTGATGGGTTAATTCTGTTGAAACAATTAATACAAATGGTAACAGAGGCCAAGTTAACTCGTAATCATTCTCTGCCTTGCTCGAGGCAGACTTGTGAGAGTGTGATGGGGAAAGGAAGGAAAAGTAATACGAGGAGCCTGCAATCTGGAAATGAGATATTAGTTTCAGGGAACTGAAAAGATGACTGAAGACACAGTGGAAAGGCAGCAACAGAAGTCAGACTATGGTTTTGTTTGCACAAGTATGAGTGAAGCTGAGGGTACAGACTATAAAGAGAGACTTAGTAGAGCTATTTCTCTTGCTAAAAGAGCCTGTCAAGGTTTCATCCACAGGTGAAAACGTCTCAAAACTGATTGAATTGCTAAGTCTGATTTCTCAGTTTGCAATAAGATCCTATATGTGGCTGCCCCAAAACTTAGTAAGTACCGTGGCTCTTGGTCCAGCCCGTGGATCGGCCTGGAATCTCACAGCACCTTCAGCAGAGCTGCCCTGCCTGCAACAAGCCAGCACCGAAGTTGGGTCCGCAGTGTCACCTGCTGCTGTCGTCCCATCCAGAACAGCTCAACAGAACTTAACAGCTACGCTCACAAGGTAATGCTGTTACAGGATGCACTGTAACAGCTTCTTTGGGAGGCTCCCACCAAGAAAATAAGTTGAAACATTAATAGGACCAGTGAGCCCACCACCTCCAAGGAAGAAGTTTCAATGATCCTTACAGAGGCATGACCAGTCAACATGAATACAACTTTACTTGTTAAATTCACCAATTAGTATCTGCTGCATAAGGAATACTGTGTGACAGGATAAGCAAAAGCAAATTGCTATTATCAGAATCATATCTGGTTAATCCAGATCTCAAGGTTGGGGAAGTAATACAATGTAATACGATGCCCAGATGTCCAAAGCATTTCCTTGTTTTTAAGCTCCCACACTACAAAACAGTGGTAATTGTGACAAGAGACATGCCTGATGTGCGGTATCCTAATTTAATTCAGAGTTATTCTCCACACCCCCCCCCAAAAAAAAAGAAAAAATATATATTTCTCCAGGCTTCAAGACTAAATTTAGTATTAATGTAAATTAAATACCAAGATATCAAAATATCCTAACTTCGAAAGGATTATATACCAAATGCGGTACTTTGAGGTCTGCCTTTGTAAATACTTCCATTGAAAACATTATCTTTTACTTGGAAAGGGACAGTGACATAAGAAAGGATTTCCCACTAAAAGTAATTCTGTTCAAAGGATTCCACATCTTCACATTCTGAAGCCATTCTGAAGCCAGAATTATTCTGCTTTAAACTATGGGTCTGACTTGACAAACCTTGGTAGATTTTTTTTATGCATCTCCCATTTATCAATGAGGTTTTGCAAAGTCAGTACAACTCTTTGAGCTGTCCACTCTACTCTCAAGTGCTGTGGCTATTGTGAGCTCTGCTGTGATCAAAAGACTTCGCAAAGCCTGCCCTCTCCATCAAACTTTCTAGTATAAAACAATAGTATAAAACAGGCGAAATCTGAAAATTCAGAAAGTTACAAGCAACTGAAAATGGTAGGTTGGAATGGAAACACATGAGAAGAATCCCTATGCCTACGGGGCTTGTTAAAATACACGTTTTGATTTATTTTTATCATGGTACTAATTATATAGCAAATTATTCTTAGGCAAGTTTTAGCTTGTGCATTCCCTGTTCTAATATTCACAGTCAGAATTCATCTGAGGATTGACTGCATATTTTAGATCACAGAAGTACAGAATGACAACAGTTTCAGAAATACACATTTTATGCTGGTGAAAAAAGAGAAACAGTGCAGCTTCTGCTAATGTTCACCATTAAAGTTTTAACTGAGGTTTTAAAATGTAAACACCAGTGAATAAGGAGGGGAAAGCAATGCCAGAACGACACTGACTGGGAATTTAGGAATATTAGTTCCATGTCTCTCTCCTCTCAGAATTTGCTTTGCAAACCAGTTTTCTGAGAGGAGCCTAAACTGATAAAAGGCTGTTAGATGACTGGAAAGTCTCTGCTGGAGTGCATATAGAGTGCCTTTTTCTCTGGTATACTTTGAGGGATTTATAAAATGGATAATTATCCTCTTACATGGTCTCAGATCCTATTATGTTATTTGGGAAGTAGTAATGCTACTGCAGTGCTACAGATGACCAGCTTCTACAGAAATGGGTAGAAATTGAGGAGAAGGTCCTTGCAGATTGCCTGAGCCTTGTGTTGGGAGTGCTACGTGATAACAGAGGAGGAAGGAGACACAGCAGAAAGAGAGGCTATCGCAGTATCTGTGGCATGTGCCACCACCTCAGTATGGGTAAAAGGTGTAGATTTTCTGTGACCTGCTAACACTGAGCTATAGTTGGTCTTCTACACAGCTCATGTTATGTAAAGATTTTATCCTAATCTACATCCGATTCTAGGTGAGAAGAGACAATGCAAGGAAAGAAAGAAGTGAAAGAAACTTTAAAAGGGGCACAGAGAGAACAGGGATCAAAGTCAAGTGGAATGCAACAAAAATATGTTGAAGAAATGTTAAGAAGGCAAGCCAAAAAGGAAAAAAAAAACACTAGATAAAGAAAGGTAGTAAAAATAGAAGAAAATACTTGTAAAAGCTAACATACTTATTTAAAAAAAAAAAGGCTGAACATTGCTAGAGGGTGATTCACACGTCAAAATACCAATGTGAATACGTATGAGAGTAGGGCATGGAGAAGCTAGAGCTATGACAATTGATTTACATCTTTGTGTATAGGAAAGGCAAATAATTTGCGTTTTACATTAAAGGTAGATTTTAAAAGCATGTTTGGATATATTTGTGTATCTAGAAACACACAAGGTACTTGGATTCTGTGGCATTAGTGCATGCCCCTTATACAGCAATATTAATTCAATAGCAGTGTTTTCACTCATTAAAAAACTCCAAATTACTATTAGGAAGGTTTTATCTTTTATTTTCATTGCAACGAAAATCCATAAGGGAGATTAAAGCTCTTTCTCTAAATGATAGAGAGGAATATTTGATAATTCGAGACTTTTTTAAAACCTCTTCCCTTACACCATTTTTCCCAGCAGGTTTCTCAAATTCTTATTGGGTTGTAGGAAAGGAGTGCTTGGACGATATCCTGACATGAGCTTTCATGTTTTTATATAATTGTAACATTTATTTCTCCTATTTAGTACTCCTCATTAAGGAGAATTTATCCTCTGCTGCATTAATTATTTAATTTTATTGAAGGATTAATCAGTTCAGGAAATACTCTCGATACAGAAGTAAAAGCTTTGGGAGTTTTAAATAGGGATTGTAGTTGCCAGATAGTGTTATGTTGAAACAGTGCGATAGTGCTTCTAGAGGCTAGGAAGCAGCTGTAAACGACATTAACCTTCATTAGTACAACACTTTTAAAATAACAATTGAATAGTGTAAGGATAGACAGGGCAGTAAAGACTCTCCGCTTACTGCCCCTCAGTTTCATTGGGAGGTCAGTGTCATGGGTGCGGAGGAAGATGCTCCGTGATAAAAATGACTTCAGTCATTTCTCTGCAGCACTAGGCTTTTATCTTCAGGACATATGGCACATGCTGCCCATTTTCCCCAGTTTCCTTTGAAGGAGGCACAGTGTTCCACACATTTTTAATAAGATATACATTTTAAATGCATGTTCAGCTTTGGTCGGAGGACTCCAAATAATGACATGTGTGGGGAAAGAAAGCTTGTATCCTGCCCCGGCTTTTCCCACATTACAAAGCACCAGTCTGCCTTAGTGTCCTAGTGGCTGCAGCCTCCTCATCTCCCTTCTTCCAGCTTCCTTCTCTCCTGGTTCTTTCATGTGCTCGTGGCTCCCTTGCCTTTTCCCTTCCCCCCTTTCCTACTGCCCATATTTCTACTTCCAGTTCTGACTTTTATTAGCTCTTTTGAGAGAGGAGGTCACTGCTTGATGTCTCCATGGCAGCAAACCGGTCACCAAGCTAGTAGAAAATTAAAGGAGTGAAAAAATGGAAAGGGATTATGGAGGTGCCTTCTACACAAATGTATTCTCAAAGGCCTTGCTGCATGCTTCAGTGTAAATATATGCACAGCAAGATGTATGAGAAGGAACAACGGTTGAAAACAACGGTCTCAAGGAACCTGAGATAATAACCGTCACACCCTCAAAATATGCGCTAGCTCCCATCCTGTTAACAGTGGCCACGAAAGCAGAAGCGCTCCCACGCGGGGAATTATGCCCCCCTCAGGAGGAGAGGGTCGCCCGGGGCACTAGGGAACCCCTCCTCGCCTTGGGGCTGCCCCTGTGCTCCAACGGCTCCAAC